ATTTTATTTTCTCATGAATTGAATTGACATATTAACCATGAATGTTGTTCATGGGTATTGAAATATCATTATCATTATCAAACGGGGAAATGACACAAATCTCCTATAAAGTTTTTAGGGTTAGTCGATTCAGTCCCTAAAGTTTTTGTCCGGCTTTATGGGTCCCTGAACTAGGATACGACCTGCTTTATTTTAATTACTGTCAACTTGTAATAGTCAGTTCCCCACGCGACAGTGACCATTTATACCAAAAAACTCACATTGTGCCCCTATAAATCCAAAAAATAAGTTCGCGGATCAAATGCTTATGCCACAAGATCGAAGTGATTTGGGAGAAGAATGAAAGATAGCAGGCCATTCGATTTCTTGCGTGTCTTTGTGTATACCAACATCCAACAACAAAAATGGACTTTATTAGCTCTCATTCTTTTCTTCTAAAGTCGATTCACACTCAATTCGTATCCTCCCAAGAAATCGATTGCTGCTCTTCTTTCCGTCTTCACCCTCAATCGTCATACACGCTCATTGAAGATCACAACCCTCTTTTTCCTTCTAATCATGACATATATGAAAATTCTAAACATTTAAAAATGTTTGAATTGATAAGAAAATTTAGAAAAATATTGAATTATTAAAATTAAAGTTTTTTTTTTCTCTTTTAAATTTAAAAAATAATTTAGATAAATAAACAAATGAAACTAATGAAAATTTAGTTTAGAAATGTTGAAATTAAAAGAAAAGTCAATTATTGAAATTGATATGTATTTATGATAACATTTATTGCAATTATTGCATTTAAAATATAATAAATAGGAAAAAACCAAAAAATACCATGTGGAAAAAATTTAATTAAAAATAACCATAAAATGACATGTGGTTAAATCAATAAGAGTGTGAGATGTGACAAAAAAAAAATTTCGTTTATTATAATAGATTATCAAACTAGGTGTGAGGTTTATGTATTACATGAGTTTATTTAAAAAGATTAAATATGAAATTTTAACAATTTGAAGAGTTTGAATTTATAAAAAAATGAGAAAATTTATAAATTATTAAAATTAATGAGATTTTAGTGTATTAAATACATTACATATATAAACCATTTCTAATAAATACCTTACATATATATTACCTTACATATTATATATGAAATTTTAATTTAATAAAATGAAAAATACAATAAAATGACAAGTAGAAAATAAAAAATTCAAAATTTTTAAAAAATATCATGTTTCCAAATGAAGAAGAAGATAACATGTAGCAAATTTTTATTTATTTATTAGAGATGATTAATAAGCTATTTGACTCCGCTTCAATGTCATGATTACAAAAAGATTAAGCACATTCATCCCTATCCTCTTGGGCATACTTAAGGGATGTATGGATTAACATATTAGCTTATTGTTTATTAGTTTATTTGTGGTGAAAATAAGCAATAAACAATAAGGAAGGAGGAAGATGCTTATTAAATTTAACTTATTTAGTTTATTTCTAACAAAATAAACTGATTTTTAAGGATTTTATTCAAACAATCATTTTTTTTTTCTTATCCAAACACACCTTAAACCTCCAAAAAGATTGTTCCATTTTTTTGGTTAGATTACATCATAGTGTATCCACTATCCATTGGTGCATTCTAAAACTTTTGTGTTGCATACAAAAACTCAAACAAACATATCACACTTTGATACCCAAACCTTTGTCTTATTCGTGCTATATTAAAACTTTTGTTAACGTCAAGAAATTAAACTTTCCATGTACATAACAAATGTGGAGGGGTGAAACGTTAATATAGTCATAGTACAAGGCTAAGTTTGTACTAGTGTCCTGTTCAGGTCTGTTTATTTCTTCTTGGGCTTTCCATTGGTCGTTCTGTTTCTCCCACGCGGAGTATCGAAACCCTAACCCCCCAAATCACTGAATTTTACTCGATCCTGAAGCAGAGCAGATTTGTATCCGTCAATAATGCAACATCAACATCAGAGACTGAAACAGCAACAACAACAGCAATCTTTGATGCAGCAAGCTCTCCTTCAACAACAATCTCTTTATCATCCTGGCCTATTGGCTCCACCACAGGTTCGCACCAAACATTGTTTCAGTTTTGTAATTTATCCCCACTTATACATATGCTTCTGACTTCATCCTTCGTCTGTTAATGCTGAGTTTAGGATCTTCGTTTTTTGATTGATTATCGATTGATGATGCTCGTTTTAGAGCTTCTGGATAGTTGCGTTGTTTTCTTAGTCTGCTGGCTAGTAAAATATAAAAAGTACTTCTGATTTCATCCTCATGTTGTTCAATTTTTGATTTTGTGATTGATCATGAACTGTTAATGGCCGCTCTTGGAGCTCATTTTAGCTGGTGAATGCTTGTGACTTCATCTTTTTTGGGAGTTTGGTTTTTGATTTTTGTTCTATCGATTTCTGTTATTAGTTCCATTCTATTTTGATTGAATCACAGTTCTTTTTGTCTGTTGGCTACTAAAATATCACATTTTGAATCCTCTTGATGAAATTTATTCTTGTGTTTTGTTTCCATTTTTCACCTTTTCATTTTGCAGATTGAACCAACACCAAATGGAAATTTACCTCCTGGGTTTGATCCAAACACATGCCGCAGTGTGTAAGTAGTTTTCATTTCCATGTTTGATCATCATGAAAGTTATTTATTTATTTATTTATAATCCTGTTTTATTTTTTGTTTTGAGAAAAATGCAGGTATGTGGGAAATATTCACACACAAGTGACTGAACCACTTCTTCAAGAGGTTTTTGCAAGCACTGGTCCTGTTGAAAGCTGCAAACTCATAAGAAAAGACAAAGTACATATTCTTGACTACTTTCTTACTGTTTTTTCAAGCAATTGTGAATAAGATTTATATAATTGTTTTCGTATCTGCAGTCATCATATGGATTCATTCACTATTTTGATCGAAGATTTGCTGCACTTGCAATAGTATCTCTAAATGGAAGGCATTTGTAAGTGGTGTGTTCATAGAGGTATATTCTGCAATGCAATTTCACTTCACAACATTCCTCTTATCAAATAACTTTTTCAGGTTTGGACAACCTATCAAAGTTAATTGGGCATATGTCACTGGACAAAGGGAGGACACATCAGGTTGGACTTTATATAAATACCCTTTTTGGAAATAATTTATACTCTAATATATATATATATATATATATATATATATATATATATATATATATATATTTAACTTTCTTTCCTCCTGACATTATCACTTTCTTCCTTTTAAGGTCATTATAACATATTTGTTGGTGACCTTAGCCCCGAGGTTACTGATGCTATGTTGTATGCATGCTTCTCTGTCTATTCTAGCTGTTCGTGAGTACATGTTTTCTCTCTCTATACATACATATAATTATACATATAGTACATACATAATTACATATACAAATATTTATATATATTTATATGTATATACTTCTTTTTCATGTAATTATAGGGATGCAAGGGTTATGTGGGACCAGAAAACTGGACGTTCACGAGGTTTTGGGTTTGTTTCTTTTCGAAACCAACAGGTTATATTAATATTCATTCTAGAACATTCTGGAAGACTATTTGTTATTAATCTCTTAATGCAAAAATTATATTTTAAGCGAAAAAAAAATCTCACATTGTTTCTTTTTCAGGATGCTCAAAGTGCAATAAATGACTTAACCGGTAAGCGTGACACATTGACGCACTTGTTCAAATACTATTTTTAGCATTGAGCTTTGATTAACTTAGTTTTAGAACATTTACGTGTTTTTTTTTTTTTTTTTTGATTTTTTATTTATTTGATAATTTGATTAGGGAAATGGCTTGGGAGTAGGCAGATAAGATGTAATTGGGCTACAAAAGGCGCTGGTGTTAGTGATGAAAGACAAGGTTCAGATTCAAAAAGTGTTGTAGAGCTAACAAATGGATCTTTAGGTATGCAATTCTCTAGTCATAATTATAAAAATAAAACTATCCAAATTATATATATTTTGTTTTGTTTTACAGAGGATACTAAAGAGCCAAGTGATAGTGATGCCCCTGAGAATAATCCACACTACACAACTGTTTACGTTGGCAACCTTGGTCCTGAAGTGAGACCTCTTAATCCTACAATTTATATGTATCTATATCTATATTTGTATAATAATAGAATTGAAAAAAAAAATTTCTTTATAAAATGTAGGTTACACAGCTTGAGCTACATCGACATTTTCATGCCCTAGGTGCTGGAGTAATTGAGGAAGTGCGTGTGCAACGTGACAAAGGTTTTGGTTTTGTTAGATACAGTAACCACACCGAGGCTTCACTTGCTATTCAAATGGGAAACACACAATCTATTCTTTTTGGCAAACAAATCAAGGTACATTTTTTTTTTAATTAATAAAATTCATTTTCAATGTTTTATATATAAAAAAAATCATAATCTCTTGCTGGTTGATAGTGTTCCTGGGGAAGCAAGCCGACTCCACCGGGAACGAGCTCAAACCCACTTCCACCACCGGGTCCCGCCCCAATGCTTTCAGCTGCTAATTTATTAGCAATGAGCAGGATGGGTGGGGTGGGTGGGGTCCACCACCCCACCCATCTTATGAACCACCACCACCCACAACGACAACATCATCTGGATGGTGGTGGTGGTGGTTCAAGTCAGGCGATGTACAATGGTGCCCAACAACTCATGTATTATCAGTGAGATTATGTGGCGTTTTTTACTTTTTTTAAAAAATATTTTTTCGTATGTATTGTTTTGTTGAGTTTTATTTGGCTGTTGTTTTTTTTGATTTTTTGTCTCCCCATTGGTAGATTGTTATATATTGGTTGAGTATGGATACATAATTACATGTCTGCTTTTTGAATAAAAAAATATTATCCATAGTATCTTTTTATAAATCATCAAGAAAAACATAAATTTCAAGAAAGTTGCTTAGTTGGAAACAACCATTAACCATTACAAGCCTCTACTACAAAACTTACATCCATGATAATCAATCATCAATCCGCTTGTAATCTAGCAATGTATTGATCATAGAAAGTTGCTGCTTTTTCTAAGTCACCAAGCTCAGTGTAACAATCAGCTATTGCTCCATACGCTTCCGTGTTCCCTGAGTCCTCACCTTCTCTTTCTGAAACTGATAAAACCATGGAATGGTATTTAATGGCTTCTCGATGCTTTCCTTGCCTCTGCATTGATGCTCCTGAAAAATGAATAATAAAATTACGTTAGTGGGTTGAGTGAATTACACCGTTTCATCCTTAAATGTGAAAGAAAAGAAAACCTAGTCCTCTTGCAGCCTTTTTTTCCTCGATTGGATCTTTAATCTTCTGAGCAAGCTCAAGTGCGGTTTTAAACTCAAAGAATGCATTTTCTGGTTTTTGATTTCTGAGAAAGTTTTTCCCATTTTTGAGATGAGATATCAACTCTTGCTTTCTTGGATCA